ATTTAAATCAAAGGATGCTTAGCTAACATATAGCACAGCTATTTTATGCGGAGAATGCTTTGCAGGCAAACTAAAAATATGATGTGAGTTGGCTCTGGTTTTTCACTTTTCTTTTTTTTAAACTTGGTTTAACCTTTATAAAAAAAATATATATATTTGGGATATGAAAAGCTTCAGACAGGATACAATGTCTTTCATCTTGGATTAGTTCACACAGAATGAAATGTCAGTATGAAAGCAAAAAGAAAACAAAAACCATTTCTCACATATAGTAGATGTGAAAAAAATATCTGGAAAAAAAATGGTCAAATACCTTGCTTGTAGGCATTTCTAAGGACTCTGGAAGGTTTATTAGCGATTCAGCTTAGTAAAAATGGCAACAAAATGTCTGCATTTGAGCATAATGTCCACCAGCCAGCCACAAGAGGGACTCCCGGCTTTTTAGGCAACTTTTGGTTAACTTTACGTGAGGACATCCAGCGTCACCTGAAGCCCCACAGTAAAGCATTATATAATGATTTACTGTGCGGCTGTACTAATGTGAGTGCGGCCATTGCCACACATGCGAATTAGGTCTTCCCTGCCAGCTGACTGGGTGGGGGGGGAGAAGCGTAGGTGGTCCCGAATCAGCACCAAGGGACATCAGCGATGGAACAAGATATGTGACTGGTAGGGTTTTTAATACCTTCAGCACCACGGGGAATGAGGGAGGGGGCACTATAGTTTCCCTTTAAAAGATAATTTTTGAGACCAAATTTTTGCTACTACTGAATGAAGGGCTAGATTACATCTGGCAAGCTTGTTGACAGTTTGGGAATTAATAAAACTACAATTGATGGGTATAATTTTTCTCACACTAGATAGCTTAGACTGGCTTCAGTCATATTGAAGTTGAGATAGATATTTTTTTTTTTTTAAAAGCTATGTAGACGTTTTTCCCCCACAATACCTAATGTTAGAGGCGAACCTGAAGTATTTTTGACCCATATGATTCTGTGAGAGTAAATTTTTAGTTAATTTTATAAGCTGCTGGGTGTTTATTTCTCTTATGGGAGTTAAAGGGACAATCCACTGCTCAAACACAAAGAAGAATAAAAAACAATGTTTAGTAGATATTCCCCAAACGAAAACATGCATGCATTTAATGCATTTTTTGTTTTATTGCAGGTATATCTAAAAGCAACCTATAAAAGTTGCAGATCTCTTGTCTGCAGCCTCTACAAGCAGTCACCCTCTAACCCCGCCCAGACTTTCTGTGGCTGTCCAATTACAGTCCTCCCAATGCAGCCCAATGAGAAGTCTCTGCAATGCAGGTGCTCTGGGCAATTGTTAAGTTTAGCTCCACTGTGCTAACCAAACCAGGAAGTAGCAGGACCAGCTGTTTGACTGAAAGCCAGGGGGTGTAACAAGGTTAATTTACATGTGTCAATGTATTGAAATCTCCGTATTTTGTAAAATGACAAAATGATGACACACCCCTCACACATAAAGCATTTCAGCGAGCTAAATAGCTTCAAAAATCACCAGGAAGTGAAAATGTGAAGAAAAAAAAATAGGAATAAAAATCCAAAGTGAGGCCATAATAAACTGGTTACTGTAACAACACTGCCCTTCCTCACTACAACATGAAATCCCTGACACTAGGAAAAGCGTATTGAAGGTATTTTTCAGAAGTTGTTTTTGTTATAAATATTACAAATAAAGCTTTGGTCACTGAGCTAATGTTATAAATGAAGATCGGGTTGCCAAGCTAATGATTTGTAGTATGCAGCTTCATTGCCAAAAAGAGGTTAAAAACCTTTAACAATTTACCAGCAGGGGGCAGTGAAGGTACAACATGCATAAAGTTGTAGACGTTTAGGTTCATGCATGTCAGACTCCGTAACATTAGTGAGTGTAATCTGTATAAATTAATTTATATAGCATATCATATGATGTTTTATTTTTTATCTTCTTTTCCTCAGTCCCTAGGCATGGAATGTGCAATAATTACCTTGCAGGACTAAAACTGTATCTAGTGGCTGTTAATCAAACAGCCACTAGAGGTGCTTCTGGTATTCTAACGGACTCTAAGTCCCTTAGACGACGCTAGACGTCCTTACGCTCTGCTTGAGAACATCCAGCATCAGTGAAATTCCCATAGGAAAGCATTAAATCAATGCTTTTCTATGGGGTGGTCCTAATACGCTTGCAGCACTCATTGCGCATGCGCATTAGGCTCCTGATGTTGGAGGAGGCGGAGCACCTACCCAGCACCAAAGGACATAGGTACTGCAATCGGATAAGTAAATAAAGGGAGGAGGGGCAGAGGGCACTATAGTGTTAAGAATACAGATTTGTATTACTAACACTATCAAATCCCTTTAAGTCCTGATTCAACTCTTAAACTTCCCATGCAAGCCTTGAGTCTGTCAGAGTGCTGTCATGGGTTAACTAGAAAACCAATGAGACAGGGCCGGCCCATCCATTGGCCCCAGTAGGGCCATGGCTCCAGGCGGCACTTTAGCACTATACACTAACAAATATGCGGTGCAGGGTCCGGCCGCCTATCTGCATATACACATAGCGATTACCGCTATATATATGCGGTACCAGGTCCCCTGCTAGCTTACACAGTGAAGTGACGGTCCAGCAATGTAAGCTTCCCTTCCAGCAGCAGGTGCTCCTCTCGCGAGGCACGAGAGCGTGGCTATAGGTTGCCATGGCAACGTTACAGTATGCAGTGTGTGCAGCATTGCATGCAACCTGTTTCCATTCTCCGCGGTTTGTGAGAGGAGCACCTGCTGCTGGAGGGGAAGTTTACACTACCGGACCGTCACTAAATAATACAACATGAGTTGCCACCGGACCACCAGGGAATCCATTGTTCCCCCTCACTGACCACACATAAGAGGCAGGAAAGGATGAATAAACAATTATACATATAAAAAACAAACATGCACTACATAAACACAGACTACATAAAATCAGACACTGTACCCACCACACACACTACATGCACCACAAAGACACAGCACCCACTACACAGACACTACACCCACCACACTACATGCATTACACGGACACTGCAGACACCATAAATACACTTCACAGGCACTGCACCCACCACACACTGCATGCACTACATAGACACTGCACACACTACTCAAAAACTGCACCCACACACA